GCTTATCGTTTAGTCTTATATATGAAAAAACCATTTAATTTATGTATATAAAATATATATATATTTAACTTTTAATTTATTGACGGTGTTGATAATGATTATGATGATGACGATGATGATGATGTTGACGATGATGATGACGATGATGATGATGATGACGGATAAGTTGGCAAGTAATGATAATGATCATTTGAATCGTTACTATAATTGTTCACCTTATTATGTTCATCCTTCAACATCACGAACGTCATCATCGTTATTATATTATTATAATTATTATTATAATTATTATTATTATTATAATTTTTTGGACTAGTCATCCTAACCATGATAATTATCATCGTCGACATCATCCTCATCGTATTCATCATCGTGACGTCATCGCCATTATCGTAAACATATTTGTATTATATATATATACATCATCGTCGTCACCTTCATCATTATTTGGTATATATATATATAAATATATATAATTTCTAATATATAGACTTAAATTACATCGATCATATTATTTTATCCTTATTATTATTCGCGAAGACTTGTGCAATCTCAATCAATCACTCAATCAATCATTCATTCATTCATTCATTCATTCATTCAATCGATCAATCAATCAATCATTCAATCGATTAATCAATCAATCATTCAATCGATCAATTAGTTTATAAAACACTATTTCCGCGATGTTCAACAGCGCTTCTCAATGAATCTTCCATACAGATGGGTTTTGAGATCCGCTCTGAACTTCGAAAGTGATGGAGAAGTAGTCAGAGAAGTAGGTAGAGAGTTCCAATGAAAAGGACCAGATAGAGCAAATGCAGATTTAGCAAGAACCTCAATATCAAATACAATAAAGAAGTGAGAACAAGAAGACGATCGTAAACCGGCGCGTTTAGGTTCAATTAATATATCTGATAAGTACTTAGGAAATAATTTAGATTGAGGCTTTTACATAAATGTGCAAATTTAAAATTTTTTTTTTACATTTTATCGGTAGCCAGTGCAAGAGAACAAGTTATGGAGATATATGAAAAAAGAAAGGGACACGAGCAACTAGACGGACAGCATTAAAGAATGGAGTGTAAAATCAGGAAGACCACAGTAGAGCGAGTTACAATAATCAATCCCAGATAAGACTAAAGAAGTAACAAGAAAGAGAAGAGTAGGATCGTCAAGGAAAGACAAACGTTTCATTATTCTACGTAGATGAAAGTAAGAACTTCTAGCAACACTTTTAATCTGAGATGAAAGAGACATGCTAGAATCAAAGATAAAGCCTAGACTACGAATTTTGTGAGAAACATCAAGAGTATTAGAGTCTGGTAAGATAAAAGAAGGAGTAGTAATAGAGCGTCTAGATTTATTAAAACAAATTAATTATTATTTAGAAAGATTAAGTTATTAAGGAACAGAGTCAGACCAAGCGAAAATAGATTTGTAAAAATTCGAAATAAATCCGATCTGCATGATGAATTTGGAAAGTAACAGTTTCGTTAAATTCTAAAATAATACTTGGATAATAATTCTATTTTCAATAAACCGAACAATTTCCAGAAAATTCAAGTAAGGAAAATTGAAAAGACAAACTTTAAATTGATTAATACCAACAGCAATTCGGTAGAATTCATACAATTTTTACCATATATATAAAGTAATTTATGAAATCTACCGAATTTCCAGCGCTTGAAATTTGCTAGATATCTTAAATTACTTTATTAATTATGGTCTATAGCTTTTCACTTGATCTTGATTGATGTATTCTTTGTATTCTTATCACATACATAATTGTATATATATATATATAAATAAATAAATATATATATATATATATGTATGTATCAATTATATATATATATATATATATATATATATATAATTTAATTTTATGTTCACCATTCCTGCAAAGACTAATACTTGTATAAAAAATATTATGCATATATATTTATAGTTTTTGTATATATAGATATATATATATATATATATATATATATATATATATATATATATATATATATAATACGTTGATTACCCAAATGTTTTACAATAAATTTCAATTGTATATATATATATATATATAATATAATATAATAATAATAATAATAATAAAAATAATTATAATATTAAATATTTACTTATATTCTTTATTCACATGAAAATTTCCATGGAATAATTTCATATAATGAATATTAATAAGAATAATAACTTTATTGGGATTGTAATAATAGTAATCATTTTATTTTTCTTTTATTTATTTGAAAGCCTTTGTAAACACTGCTTCAATAAACCCATGACTAAGATTTATATATATATATATATATATATATATATATATATATATATTTATATCTATATATCTATATATATATATATTGTATTATACCTATATATATTCATTATATTATATATATATATATATATACATTATATATTACAAATATTGAG